TTTTTTCTGCGCTATATTTCTGTATATCACATATACGGAAATAGTCGTTCTGAGGCCAAGTATTTTTAGAAATACTTCGGTCTATGGAAAATAATCTTCTATGTGCAAAACGTCTAAGATAATCTATTCCACGTTTATATTCGATCCACTCCGAGGGATCATCTATATCTGTTGGTTTTGACGAATAACCGCCAATATCCAGTCGCGAACAAAGCCACCCTCTAATTTACAGTGAAATTTGCATACAGCAGTCCATGCAACAATTTCCATTCGTGTTTCGCGTGTTACTTCCTGGCTATGGACTCTGTACCACAAATCAGCTTGTGTAAGTTTGCTGTCAGTAATATTAGCTATTCTTTGTTCAATAACTGATAAACGTGCCGTTTTGTTCAATGTTTTCGGTTCTGATCGTATAATCATTGAGAATGCTCCACAATTTCGCAGCCATCCAATGAATGCTTTAAACTCATTACGTACTAATTGATTCTGCATCTCACGCCCTATAACGGTAACTTCACCCGACTCAATTGTTATAGTAACTTGTTGTTGTGTTTTCCATCGGCAGATCAGTGGATTAAAAATAAAGCGTGTTTTTGATACAGTCTCAATATTTCGTTTGAAGTTTTCGCCGATGTAATCATTGTTCTCATATTCCGGTACTAAACTAAATCTTAATTCAGTAACTAATTGCTGTCTTAGGAATAATTAACTGTTGAAGTAACTGAAAGTAACAGCTGGAACCAATCTGAATTATGTTTTGAATAGCCCGAAGATCTTTCTATCAGATTAGGTGCATGCCGGCCTTTCATGAGAAAAGTTGATAATACAGCTTTTGGAAAACCTCAACGCTGAAAAACCAAGTCCTTAGTTTTTAGTGAGAAAACTTTGCAAACCAATATAACGTTACCAAAATATTCCGGTGAAAAAGCACTATAGACCGTCGGGAGAATTTTTCGCTCTATCAGGCTATACGGTTTGCAAAGTTTTCTCACTAAAAACTAAGGACTTGGTTTTTCAGCGGTCAGGTTTTCCAGAAGCTCTATTATCAACTTTTCTCATGAAAGGGCGAGATGCACCACATCTGATAGAGAAATCTTCGGACTATTCTAAAGATTATTCACATTGGTTCGAGTTTTTACTTAAAAGTCAAAAACAAGAGAGTTCTTGTGGTTATGGC